TCTGTATATGTGTGTGTGTGTGTGTGTATGTGTGTGTGTGTGTGTGTGTGTGTTGTGTGTGTGTGTGTGTGTGTGCGTGCGTGCGTGCGTGCGTGTGTGTGTCTGTATGTGTGTGCGTGCGTGCGTGTGTGTTTGTCTGTATGTGTGTGTGTGTGTGTGTGTGTGTTGTGTGTCTGTGTGTGTGTGTGTGTGTGTGTGTGTGTGTACAATATATATATATACACACACACACACCTTGCTACGTGTATTGTGTTAGGCTAACCGAGACTTGTCATTTGCTCTTATATATTGTTGCTCTTTTGTTAGTTTTGACTGCTTCTATTGTCCTCATTTGTAAGTCGCTTTGGATAAAAGCATTTGCTAAATGACTAAATGTAAATGTATATTTATAATAATGACAGATTAATTCACTTCATTGTCCTTCTGGTCCATGTAGTGTATCAGGTATATATTAAAAATATGACATTCGTAGATAGACAGATAAATAAATAAAATGAATGAATAGTATTCGGACTGAATCATGTGATTGGCGTCTGACATCACGTGACGAGTGAGCGCGTCAGAGCACGGAAGTTGTCATAAGGAGCTCAAACGAGCCTCAGAGAGGAGTGCCGCTGATGTTATAACCCGAAATAGCTGTCTCTGCTCGCTTACACGCCCCTGAGCTGCGAGCGCTTCTCGGGCGTGAAGCTGTACAGACAGCAGGAGTCGCCCGGAGCTGGAGCAGCGACATGGAGGGGTCTGGAGCTGAGCAGGAGCGCGAGGAGAACACGCCCTGCGCACACCCACACGAGGTGCTCACAGAGCTTGTTTACATCTCGAAGCCTTGAGGTTGTGCTTTTAACCTATGTGAGGTTGTGTTTAAACTTTACACTTTACACTGTAAAGTCGGCGTTAGCTGGAGAAGTAGATGCTGCAGTAAAACTTCACCGCAGGATGAGTAAGAGAAAGCCTGCATCTTAAAGTGAGCTGCCGGCCAGACAGCAGGTTTGGGCATCACACTCAAACGCGCTGGCCGTCATTAAGGGGTGTTGTGTGGATCTCTGCTCTGAGATCATGAGCTGTGCTTACTGTCTCACGTTGACAGTCTTGTTCTGACAGCTGAGGATAATGAGTGCTTTATTAGATCCATGGATATTTCTCTGCTGAGTTTGATGCATCACAGTGATGTTTTGATCTGTGGAGTAGCCCCCCCCCCCCCCCCCC